CTTGCATTACAATATTTTTCTTTTTTTTTTTTCCAGAAGTCTAAAAAATGTCGAATTATTATTTTAAACATGTGGAACTTATTCTAAAAAGAAGGCAATTTAACTCATGATTCTCTCTCCTTCCATTATAAAACAGTGTGAATGACCCACCCAAAGCCTCACTCACAAATCAATCCCCTTTGATTGTTCATTGATTGTTTAAATTTGTTACTGGTGCTCCATGTCTTTACACCTCACAGCATCTGGCATACCAGAAACCAAGTGACTTATTTGGGATGCAGCTCCATAACGAGCTCTTCCAAGATCAAAACATAGTCTCTGCTTTATAACATATCATAGCACTAAATCCTACTTGATGAGAGATCGCCTGTGATTAGCAGACCTCTTAGTGACCTATCTGCAGCCTGTGGCCGACAACTGAATACATTATAAGCAGTTTGAAGTGTTTTCTCCAGGGAGGTAGTCAGACAGGAAGCTCCCAGGGGAGGATGGAGGAGACCTGTGACTGTTAATGTGTGTGTAGCCGCAGCTGTCGTCTCCATCAAAGGACAATTTATCTATCTGAGCTGTTTAAATTCCACAAAGTGGATCAAGAGGAGGAGAAAAAAGGGGGGGTTGGGCAATGGAGGTCATGACAGGGAGCGCCCTGATCTCACCTCCTAGATTCCTTTCCTTATTTCCTTCTCTCCTGCTTTAATCTGGCTGGTTTCAAACCGATCTCTCCTCTTGTTCCTGAACAGTTGTGTCAGGGATGTATTATCAGGGGAGAGACAAACAGCTGATCAAACATTGCAAAAGCAAAACAAGAGAGTAAAAGGGAAGACATGAAAGGAGCTTGATTTAGTTTTGATCTAATAGAATAAAAGAACTAAAGATGGGAAATTCTTCTTCGGTTGGTTTATTAGGCTAAACTAAAATATATATCTTTTTAAATGATTGGATGCATTAATGCATTACTTAAAACTCAGCAGGAAGATATCAAAGGGAAGAAAAGATTGCCCCCTGCAGGATAGTTTTGAAACTACAGAATATATAAAGTTTTGCAGTTTGACTCAAAAGGTGAAACAAGTGTATTGCATTAATATCTACCTAAAAAAACTCACTCAAATAATGCAATTAGAAGAATTTGATACAGTATTTAAACCTTTAGTGTTCAAACCTCGGTAGGAAACATCAGCATTTAAATCCACTCTGATTATAGGGATGAACTGAAGAATGACAGTGAGGATGAATCCTGAAACTGGTGGTGGAACTGAGAAAGAATGGAGGTGGATGGCAGCTGGAATGAGGCACAGGTTCATATGAACCTACATGTTGAGCAAGCATGGGGTGACGGTGGAGAGAAAAAAAATTCCCTTGGGAACCAGAACCAGGCTCAACATGGCAGTCTTCTGCTGGACCGACTGGGCGTGCCTCATGAATGCAGTCAATCCAGAATCATCTGATGGAACGAGGCAGCAGCAGAGTGAAGAAGGGGACGGATGCAGCTTGTGGCAGAGGTGGAGAAGGAGATGGAGGAGGGTTAAATCAAGGACGTCCAAGAACAGTTCAACATTGCAGGCCAACTTAGCAGACGCTAGGTTGGGTAGCAGTCAATTAAAATGTAATTTAGACTGGACTTTGTGGAGGTGTGGTCCGATGTTGATTGGGTTGCATCACAGACGGATGAGCCTCTGATTGGATGGGTGAGTGATTCAGTTTATTCTGTTGAATTTTCCACTAGCCTTCAAAACAACTAAAGTTATTATGCAAGTTGTTTTTTGTAAAGTTCCTTATGTGTTACATTCAGACCCACCAATCCCTAATTAAAAGAAGATTCATGATACTCATGGTACAAATATGTTTCCCTACTTAGAAGTATGTTCATATACTGTATAGTGCATAAGCATGGTAACAGCAACCCTTGAATGATGACTCTTATTAAGTGTATTTATTTATTGTTAATTCAAAACCTATCATACTCAACGTAAGTCAAACCCAACTTTACTGATAAATTTAATAGAAACATAACCATTTTGTTTTAAGTCATTGCATCTAGAAAGTCTTGTTAAGTGAAACAGTTTTAAAAGCACATTTCTGGGTTATAAATGAATCAAAACAAGGTTTTTATTGACATTTCATAAGTTGAGAGTCTTTGAGGGGCTTGAAAAACATGAACATTCTTGTGGACTTTAAATAGGACAAATCTCCTATATTTTCAAATGCATAAAAACCACATCCTGCATCACTATTTAAGAAACATTGCAATCATAAGATTTTTTTAAAAACATGTATAAACAAAGTCAGGTTCTGTGCTGTAATAGTTGTTGCATTTACAGATTTTTTTTTTATTTATTGGTTATTTCATTCCAAATATTCTCATTTTGACTTCTTCTTTAGCTTGTTTTTGGAGTTTTTTTAAAGTCCAATCTCAGACCTAAATGGTGAACTATAGAAGACAGAAAAGTAAATACAAATATGTTTAAAGTGATAGAAATAACTCTATTCCTTTAGTTTAGGAGAAAAAAAAAGGTTTGGAGTTCCAGGTTTGGAGTTCCTGCAGGGGGAGGATGGATCAACTGAAGATCTGTCACCTCAGATGTTAATATCAGATAAGCAGAAGATAATGAATGTATGGATTAAAGGATATTGCATTTAGTATTTTTTTTTATTTTGTTATTCTATTACAAAATCCAGAGCATGTTGTACTATATCCCAAAAAAAGGCCTAAGTTTGAAGGGCATCAGAGTTGCCTAACATCACCTCATTACAAACTTTGCACTTCACTTTGTTTTTACAATTTAGAGCAATCTAAATCAATAACAAACTAGAGAGCTGTAAAGTGTGGTCAACAGCCATCTTGTTTTTATGCAAACAGGTCCAGCCATGGACTTGTTTCATACTTCTCACTCTGCTGAACCTCCAATCCTCTCTGTTGCATCTCTACCCAGAAATCAACAGCATAAGAAAGGTCAAAACAGTAGATGTGCAAATAAATCCAAACTGCATACTGAATTCATAATAAATAGATTTTAATGAACACTGTTAATGCTGATCTGTCAGAGATCATAAAAATAACAAAATGACAGACAAAAAGTCAAACAGCAGGTTGAACTTATGTTGATTTAAAATGACAGCTCTGAAAAACAAATATGTCTCCCTTTTTTAAGTCCAGGCTTCCAATACATCCTAAATCCAGACTTATCTTAGCCGAGCTCTTAATGTGTTTCTGGCCCATTTCAAAAGAATGTAAATTCATTTTGTATTTACTGCAGATTTTTCAAGGGTAGGATTAAAATACAAAACCTGCAAGAAAAAAAAGGAAAGAAAGAAATGGTAGGGTAGAAAGAGTGACAAAAGAGAGCAAGAAAAAAGGATGAAAAAAATGAAAAAGACAAATAAAAGGAGGGAAAAAAGAGGGAAACAACTAATAAAGAATGTAAAGAAGAGAAGTAAAGACTAAACCCATAGAGGGGAGGAAAACATGACAAAAGGAAAGAAGAATTAGGCTAAAAAGAAAGGATGGAAACAGGTTTATTACAGATAGGAAGGAAGGAGGGAAGAGGAAAAGGAAAGACAAGACAGGATTGAGAAAAGCAGCAAAGGGAATCAGGAAGAAAGAGAATAAGGACGACAAACGGACAGAAGCAAGAAAGGAAGAACAGATGTAAGGAAGGATAGAATAAAGGAAATGAGAAAAGAACAAAGATTTAAAACTGAAATGGGCAATAAAGTCCAGAAATAGTATTTATAGTCTTTAAAACTTATCAAGACCTTAACGAAATGTAAACAATATTTCATTTCATTTATCAGGAATCTAGGATGTTTGAATCTGAGAATCAGAAGTGGGCGGAGCCTGAGCTGTTACAACATGATAATTTTTCTTAAAAAGGAGCTGCTTGTTTTAAAAACATTAACAGCTGATGATCCATAAACACATAAACCATGAAAGAAACATTACCAAAAAAAAAAAAAACACACAAACCAAATTAAATCCACAAATCTATCACTTCCTTCCACTCCCTTGCTATCACAAAAAACAACATACAAGTCAAACTCACACTGAAACAACAGGACCTGAGGAACAGCAGGCCTACTGATCACTAGAGGAGAGGATGCGGTTTAAACTACGTGCCTGACGACTTCCCTGAAGGGCTCTAAGGTTCTGACAGGAACCAGTGAAACGGAGGGGGACCAGCTGCAGTGCCAGTCAGCTATTTATAGATTCTCTATAAAGTCTGTAGTTCTGAAATTTCAGGAGGATCACCTAAAACAGGACAACTTTAAAGGTTTCACAACAAAAAAAAGCATGTAGTGAGAGAAGAATTTAAGGTTCCCAAACAGCTGGACAGATAAATGAGTCAGAGTAACTGGAAAGGAATAATGAATCAATCCAGTTAAAGACAAACAAAAACAGTGCAGGTAGAGACCTGCTCAGTCCCAGTCTGCTGTCAGGTTCAACTGGGAGGATTTTATTATTAAACAGAAACATTTGATGATTTCTGAAGCTCACATTGCAAAAGATTTAAATCTAAATAAGTCATTTTTTCTTTAAACAAGTCAATTTAGTCTTGAATTGAGAAGGTGAGACACTTTTCCATTGGAACAAGACAATATACATTTATAATAAGATCAAATAATTACATATTATTTCAAGTGCATATTATCTAATTATCTTATTTTAAGAGTAAAAATACTCATTCCATTGACAAATTATCTTATTTACCTACTGAAATTAATGGTAAATACACTTAATTGAAGGAATCTACTTATTTCTTTATCATTTCTGCAGCTCAGACGGGATTCAGCTGTTTGCTGTGATCTTTACCGCCAACGTTCGGTTAAGAACTTTAAAAGCCTAAATGTGGATATTTGTCGCAGTTCTAATTTTTGTCTCAATGTGGGACTGAACAGCTCTCCACTCTGCACCGGATTCAAAATGTTCTCCCTGAAGATCGCAATGAAACCAGTTCAGATGATTCCCTGTGCTCTAAGTCGCGACGAGGAAGCAGAACTCCAGCTGACCGGCGACGGGGTTCGGCTTACCAGACGGACACCAGTTTGACCCTGAAGCAGGTTTTTTTTTTTTTTAAGGGAAACGTGTGAAGTCTTCAGCTGGAACCAACAGGTAAAGTTCACATAATATCTCTTTCCCTACAAATATAATTTTATCTAGAAAACAAGTGACTCTCTAACAAACTGAAACCAACTATCTTGGGACGCAGCAAACGGCAGCTGCTGCTGCTTGGTGGAGCTTGGGTCCAGAGGAGGACTGAGATGGGGCAGGACGACACACAGGCGACGGCCATCAGAAGGACTAGTTGTCTTCATCGTCGTCGTCTTCCTCGCCTTCGTCATCTACGTCTCTCTTCCTCTTTTCTCCCTGAGCGCCCTGCAGATCCTCTGCAGACAGATGACATACAGGTCCTTTAAAATGTATATATTATATCTGGATTTTAAGGAGCACAGCATTTCAGCCACTGTTGGTGCCTAGGCAAAGCCCTAAAGACATGCCATCCACGCCATGAAAAAACATATAGCAAAATTATGTTTTTAATCAATATTAAACTTTTAAATGTGTTTATCCATTATACAGTATATTCATCTATTTCTTGGGACATCATTATTTATTTTGTCCCTATTTGTCCTCCATCCAGCTAATGGCTAACATCATGATGACTCTGATTCGGAATATAAATGGCTGCCACACCTTGTCATTTGTGTTGATCCGTTTCTATTTCATTCAATTATAGCGAAACAAGTAAAGCTTATGGTTGCAATGCAACAACAAGGGAAAAATATTAGGGGATGTTAATATTTTTGTTAGGTTTTCTTCAGGATTTAGCCTTGAATTAGCTGCAACATCCTCACCTTCCTCGTCTGCATAGTCATCCTCATCTTCGTAATCCTGAAGAACAAAAAAATGTAGGGGAGCAGGTTTATAAATGTTCTTTGAAAGCGTTTAGATGAGACAATGATGCTCTTTATCTAGTGGCTAGAAAGACAAGGAGACAGGGCCAACATCCTTCAGACCAACTCTGACACGCAGTGATGCAACAAGCATGGTGGCAAATCTAATAGAACCTTTCAGGAAGCGTCTCTAAGGGAGGCAGTAACAGCGTGCTGTCAGAGGTGGTCGTTTTGGTGCTGAACGGGGTCGACTAAACTCATCCAACCAGCCAGAGAACTGAACTTCAGTCCAGAAGAAACTCTGCTCTCTGTCTGATCCAGCCCTGATGCATGATGGGATGGGAGGGAGGGAGAGGGGTGGGGACTGCTACCAATCCTGCTGTTTCTCTGCTAAGTTGCCCACCTGATTGGCCTGGTTCACCTGAAAGCTCAGCCCCACCTCTCTTCCCTCTGAGCCATCCTCATCCTCTTCTTCGTCATCCTCCTCCCCGTAATCCCCGGTCGGCCCCGCCCTGTCCTCGCCGTCCTCGTCTGTGAACAGAGACCACCACTGAACTCGGGCCAAGCTGACAGCGACTGCTGAGTCGTTTCTGTGAGCTCGTTCTCTCACCATCGTCGTCGGCCTCAGAGTCTGGGGCCTCGTTGTCCTCCTGGTCGAAGCCGTCCAGGTAGGTCACCTGAGGTAGCAGCTCGAACACGCTCTCCCTGTAGTCCTCCAGAGAGGTGATCTCACAATTAAACAGATCCAGACTCTGCAGACTCTTCAGGTTTTGCTGTGAATCATAAAACACTGTATAAAGTAAGTATCTTCAAACAGTAACATTAATTTCTTTTAAACCTTAAATAAATCAGACTAACTGAAGACACTGACCAGCGCCTCCAACGTGCTCAGCTCTTTGATCTTGTTCCCACTCAGGTTGAGGTAGGTCAGGTTGGGACATTTCTGTGCAAGAGTCTCCAGAGACCCCGATAGGTTGTTGTCACTCAGCTCCAACTGAGGGATAAGAAAGAGAGTTGGGTTAAAGAGAATCTGTTAAAACATTTAGATGGACCGGTGCTTTACGGAGTTAAAGATGAGCAAAAAACATTTCAGAAATTTAGCTAAAATGTCAAAACAGCAGCCCATTGTGGATGCAACACCGACTGAATGAACACATTAGGGTTAGGGTGACCCTTAAACCTCAGGAATAAACATCGTATGCCTAATAATTTAATGCTGCTTTGACTGGGAAGCAGGGGTCAAACACATAACAATAAATTAGTAAATGAATGCATAAATAAATAAATCATGTCGTTTGAATATGAGAGAAAAGAAAGTCCAGAACTTTGTGAAACAACATAGGAAGCCCTTATTTAAAGAAAAATTCTTCCAAAATAATGTGGAAATATATAGATCTTAACCTAAGAGGGAGAAAATGAGAAGGTCCAATTTATGGAAGCAGGAAAACAGCCACATTGATCAAGGAAACGTCAAACCTGAGTCTACTAAAGCTTATATTTGTCATGTTACAAGTAAAAAAGATACAAATAAAACATATTTTCTACTTCCTATGTGTTCAATACAAACCTCATGCTAAGAGCTATTATCTGGAAGTTTAATAATATATCTGTGTTATTGTGTTGCAGATTCATTGATGCTTTCAATAGTGCCTGCAGTCACCGCTTATTTTCTTTTTATTAAGACGAACACGATGGTGACATCTAGTGGATCAACTGGTGAACTACACTTCCTATATTCACACTTTCCATCTGATATGTAGATCTATAATACACACACATATATATCAACTCTACAATATAAATCTGTAGAGATTCATATGTAGCTTAATTAATAATCACAGCCTGCATTTAAGTCTAAAATAACTTTTGATTTTAAAATCTAATATTGGTGGGATTACAATGACGTCTATTTGGAAGTTCATCTGACTGTTAAGGAAGGCTCACCTTACGCAGTTTGGGCAGCGAAGGCAGCTTCACCAGTGAGCTCAGACCCACGTTGACCACACTGAGAAACTCCAGCTCTGTGAACTCGTCCGTCAGACCCTCGACCTCTCCATCAGCAGACCGACTGTTGTCCACCACCAGCTCCACGACCTGAAAAGCAATGGGTGCTTTCATCAAATACTGTCCTAAATCATCATTTCTTTTTAAATGTTTATTTTTTAACCACTTTTTAACTGCAGAAAATGGATGCTAGTTGAGTCTTTTTTTTTCGGATCTCGCAGAAATAATCTAAAATGGAATGGAGATAAGTCGGAAAAGCAATGATATTCATTTGTAAATTTATTAATAAATACCTAAACTGGTCCACCTGATTATATTATTAATTTATTTTTAATTATTCAATTAAATATATTAACTGATCAGAAAATAACTACAATGAAGAAAAGGAAAAGTCATGGGCATTAGATAGTAAAGTAAATAAATTTGTTCATACTGCATGTACATGTAAAATGTATTTATCATGGTTATTCTGCTTCTTGAGTATAAAAATGACTATTTATGTATTTTAGGTAAACTACATTTAGATCATCCCTAGGTCTTTGTGATGGCAATGGAAAGGACAGAAGCTGATGTCAGACATTAGTCCCCATGGATTATATTGTTTGCAGATGACACTGTGATTTTTCCTAAATTTGCAATGACTACAAGTACTGAAGGAAAACAAGTTAAAGTATCCAGGATCAATTTTTCCCAAAACGAAAAGCAGAGCAAAAAAAAGGTGAAAGGGGGAAACGAGTAGAGGGGAAAGGCTGACATCACATCAGGTGTGATTTGGAGATGGCAGCAGTGGCAAAAGGAGGGTCTGAATGTGAGTATAGAGGAACAGCTCAGACAAACAGATGCAGAGAAAAGACTGATTGTTTGCAGATGAGGCAGATATGGGACCACATGTTGTAAAGATGGAGCAAAAAAGAGGAACACCTCAGAGAGGAAATTGGGATGCAGGTAGTCAGTGAGACAGTTTGGCATAAGGATGAGCTGCTGTGAGGTGATCTGTTATGCTGCCCCCTACTGGTTATAATAAAAACAAAGCATATTCAACCTATTTCTTTTTCTTTTTTTTTTACTTAAACATTAACTTATCTATCCAATGGAGGTAAACCTAAACCAAAACTGTGAACAATCTCTAACGTTCTGCTCTCTCTGCTTTTTCTTCTAGTAACTTTGCCTCGTCTGTTCCTGTTTGGCTGTGACTCCATCCTGGAGAGAAATATCAGCTGTGCTGCTGCCATCAACACCTTTGAATATAGATGCTTCTCTGACTGGCTGGATGTGCTCTCTTCTTCCTCTGACATAGGAGTTGGCTCAAAGCCCAACTGCCTGGCTGTGTGTTTCCTGGACGGGGGCGCCTTTTACAGCTGCTTTTTGTATCTCTTGCTTCCATTTCTTTGAACACCAGTCGGTCTCGGCAGATGGCCGCCCACACTGAGCCTGGTTCTGCTGGAGGTTTCTCCTGTTAAAAGGGAGTTTTTCCTCTCCACTGTTGCTACAAGCATGCTTAGTGTGAGGGATTGCATTCGAGTCGATGCAATCAACTGGTTTTCCTTAGATAGAAAACCTTGAATCAACCTGACTGTATGATCTGGTGACTGTAAAGTGCCTTAAGATGACATGTGTTGTGAATTGGCGCTATATAAAGAACCTAAACTGAATTTATACAAGATTACTAAACATCTCAGAAATCCCTATATCGAGTATGACAATAATCCAGAGCAATTCAAACATGTTAGAAGTGTTAAATTTATCAGAAATGAAGTCAGAGGAATTCAGAGCTCGACCAGATGTCCATGAACGACTCATCTCCTTGGTGCCGGAACGTCAGGAATGTGTTTGCTAGAAGTTGTACCCAGTGATTTCTATAAATTGTATCATTCTCCGTCTGTAATTTGCATTTCATTAGGACTTAAAAGAACATGCCAAGTGTTAACTAAAGGTTTTACTACTATGCGTTTATATATTATTACATTGTTAAGAAGTAAAAAATTATTAAACAATTAAATCAGTCAAATTTTATGAAAGATAACTGGTAGGGGGTTTATTCTGACTGGTAGGTGCTTTTATTTCCCAGAGTCCTTTGGTCTTCCATGCTTATATAACGTGAGAGCCTGAGCAGAGCATCAGCCTGCAGCTCCATCATCATCTGTGCAGGGTTTAACCCTTTGTAATCTGCATGCACAGCGCTGCAGGAGGAGGAGGAGGTGGCTCTGCATTAACCATCTGCCGGATTCCCCCAATTTATAAAACATGACCGCAGTGTTTCATCTGTTCAAATTAACCTGGGAGTATTATTTAACCTGACTTGGTTACATAATCCACACATAGTTTTGTATTTTCTAAAGTCCTGGTTTATGGAAACAGACGACGCATCCGGACACATAAATGTCTGCCTTCAGAGCTTTAAAGGAGCCACATTAATCTCATTTCCTTTAAAGGCTTTGGGACTAAAGGCCGTTACTTGTAACCCCGTTACCGTGACGGGGGGTCGCGGTGTAACGCAGCCGCGTTTTGACGGGTTTCTGTAGGTCACGGACTCGCAGCGTCGACATTTTTCTCCGTCGTCGTCTAAAAATTCCGCTGGACACGAAGGCTAATCCGCTTTCCGTAGCTCGGTGAAGAGCGCCGCTCCGCCTGTGTCCGACCTTTGCTTCGGGTCGAACCGAAACCACCGCGAAAACATCACCCGAAAAACAAACACAATACGAAAAAGAATCATTTTCAGACATGGCGTGACCGGACCTGTTGAAAGAAAGTCCTCAGTTAGACAATGTCGTCGAAGTTTAAAGTGTCGGTGACTTAAAAATGTCCGCTCGGAAAGGACGGGGAGTCTAACGGACATCAGATGAGTTGTTGTTTACCTCCGCTGTACTCTAAAAAAGGCTAAACGCTAAAAATATTTATTCTTTAAATAAAGTTTCACCGAGCAGCCGAAATAAGAGGAAAGTTGGTGTTATAGGAGAACAAGTTAAGGGAATTAGCATAGCGTATCGACCGTTGAGTCGGAGTGAGAGACGGAATTTAACGGAGAGGAGAAGCGGGGGGGCGGTACAACCGAGCAACCCAGGGGATGCTGCACACAGACTGAAAAAACCCGTTACAAACTAGGCTCCACTTCACCTTATCAGCGTCTTAATATAAACAGTTTAACAGACGGTGAGTCCATCTTAAGTAAATCATGGAAGTGAGAGCTGAAAGGCGATCGACTGGGTCCGGGCTCCGGACGCGCATCACGGACAACAATTACCCTCTTATTACGGAATAAGTCGCTTACCTCCGCTGGGCTCCGGTTCCGCAGCTCTAAAGTAATCCTCTTCTTCATATCCATGTTTGAAGGTGGTTGTTGGTGGGGTTGTTTTAGAGCGGAGCGCAGTTGAATAAAGTCCAGGGGATCAGAGCGGGAGCTGCCCTTCTCTTCTGGCCGCAAGTTGCCTACTGATCCTCCATGATAACTTGCGCCCTGCCCCCTCCAATAAAGCCTCGCCCACATAATGATGGGGGGCTGGGCCGGCCCTGTTTTGATAGCTTTTGATTGGGCGGTAGATATGTCAATCACGATCATCGTCGTAATAATCCTCTACTGTGTGGCTTAGCAGGCGTAGGAGCTGTAGTACTGAAAGCGGGTGTTATTGTAATTTTGTCAAAGCAAGGCTTCTGATCTCTTAATAAATTATTATAATTTTGAATTAATTATTTAGCTGTGTTTTTTTATGAATTATAATATAATCTCTCAACAAATCAAGTAGCGAAGTAAACTATTATGCAAAAAATATATTCCTTACTGCTCAATTGTTGAATTATAATCATTTGTAGAAATAATATATCTGAACCTTTTGAAATATTACATATTTTTTATTATCAGTTTCTAAGAACTGATAATTAATTTATAACTAAAAATCGATGTCACATGACATAGGCAAGAGTTTATAAACCACTAGCTGCTGATGAACACCTATTTTTATATTGCTAGTTAAAAAGAAAAACAAAAAAACCCTTTCTGTGAAAAAACTGGGAACAATGTCAGGGGGGGAAAGTAGCCTTTTCTGTCCTACCATCACAAATGTAAACATGTTTATTTTTGCTAAAAATCAATGTGAGTAAATAAAGGTGAGTTTATGTCAAAAGCCTAGGGGGACTTTTATTGATCTATAAGCAACAGATTTTTTGCCAAAAAAAGGGGGGTTAGTTGAAAACAAAGGATACATTTGCAGAAAAACAAGTCTTGCCCACTTAGGCATGGTACAGGACATATGATGCCATGGGCTTGAAAAAGCACTGGCAGTTTTATAACTATTCAACTTTGAAATACAATCTAAATAAATGATCAAGCTTGACCCAAAAGTAAAAAATAATTTGATCTTTCAGAAAAAGAAGCCTATATAAAATCTATATCATTTTTAATGTATGCCATCTGAATAGGGATTTTATTCTTCATAAATTGTCCTACCATATGTTGTGTTGATTTAAATGCCAGTTTATTAGAAAAGAAAATATACGAATAAGTAAAAAAAGAAATCAGAAATGTACTTGTTTATATATAGACTTACAAAAATATGACCAACACTAAACTGCAGAGCTATACTGTGCTCCAAAAACTAGTTAACTCATAAATAAAGGATGCTTTTAGGAGCATTTTGCCTCGAAAGTTCAGACACAACAAAGAAGTTCTTCAAAAAGACATGAAGTTTATATTTAAATGCAGGCAGCCATCATTGTCACAGAGAAGCCATTAGGTAAAGTTAAAAAAATACAACTTTTTATGTACATAGAAAAGGGTTGGTTTTGCAAAGCTTATAAAAATAACTGTAACACAAACAACAGCTGGTCTCAGGTTAAAGAAGAAAAAGAGGGGGTGACGGGCAGCTGAGGGAATACATGTGATCATTGTGAGCACAGTGAAGTTGACCAACATTTCTGACAAGAATCTCCCCAGATGAGCTTGTGTTTGGCTTCTGGGGATTCTTCATCTACCAGCAAACTTTAACCTGCTCCCTCATTTCATGTTCAATGGTTTCTGTAGATTCAGACATTCCACTCGTCATAAAAACGTCAAAACATCTTTGACTGAAAAAGTCAGCAGTGCTTTTTTCTCTGCACAATTATGTCAAATCAAGCATGTTTTTAACACATCATGCAGCCATAAACGGTTTGTGACAGAGACCAGTCAGAGAACATTGAGGACCACGTTTTAAACAGATGCATCATTTATCTAGAGAGATCAGAACTGGATAATTGTTCTTTAATTTGCTCTGATCAGCAGAATGATTTAAATTTCCTAGTTCATCTAATCCAAAACTTACAGCTCCCACCATTATTGGTTCAAGATGTTATTAATAGCATGCTTTACATTCTGATATAAATCACAACAAAGCGATCTGCCTGCTGACAAGCAGCAAACACAAACTGCTTTAACAAATGTAAATTAACCCAGATTACAGCAGATGTTAATGATTCATCTACCATCAAGGCTCTTTGAAATGACTGAATCCTTAGTAGAGGTGAAAATAAGCCAATAGAAGCTCTACATTGTCATTTCCAGGATAACTAACAGACTAAACTGCAGAGTTGCATATGAATCAACGATAAGGTGGAGAATGGACGAATAGAGGGAGGATATCCAGTATTTTTCTCCTTTCCTGCTTCAAATCACCTTCCTGGCATCACCTCCAACCTCAGTTTCAGTCATTTTGTGAATAATCGGCATTAAAAGGTCATGTGTAAACTATTAATATAGTTTGCTGATCTACAACTGAGATTTATTTTAATTTATCTTGCAATCATTCCTTCAGCTATAATAACTTCAGGTTTATTCAAACATTTAAACTGTATATAAATGTTTTTCCAGCCTAAACATATCATAAAATAACTGTAAAACTACCAAATTGACATCTTGGCACCATCAGATGAAATAGTTTTAAAGTTAGAGCATTATTGATATAATAACAGATATGGACTGTCGGAGTGATTGAAAAAAGGAGTTAGAAATGAACCAGAAGGAACCACAATGATTCTTATTTGTTGTCACAGATTTCAGCTTCACCTTCTTGGTTAATATGAATATATAAGCTGCCCACCATTTAACCAGTCCAGAAGGGTTGTGTGACGGGGCGTAGGGTTCACAATTAAATGACAAAGATAATCCCACCTGAAAGCATCCAAAGAACAGAGTGAGTGAAAGCTTCTGTTATGAGGATCAGTAAAGCAGGAACTACTGTAGTTTCCAATTACTGCAAAGATTTTTCTGACAAGCTGACTAGATCAGTTATGAAGCCATAAAACAAGCAGAAACTGACTATAAATCTAACTCGGACAAATACTAAACACAATGTATGTAGAAAAATAAAATAAATGGGTATGATTGAGTCATTCAAAGTCATCAGAATGAGGAAGCAACTGTAACAAAGGACAAACTAAAAGCCTAAGCTTCTTTTGTGTCACATTTCCAACAGGGAAGCAGGATGTTGTCGTAGCGATGGTTATGGAACGTAAACCTTTGTCTCCTTGCATCTCCTCCCATCACCGTCCAGGTTATTGTTCGCCGGCAGATGACAAAGTAGAGAAAACTATTGTACTGATCCTTGATGGTTCATGCATCTTTTCCCTTTCTGTTGGACCATGTTCAGGAAGAAAGGAACAGGCGTGTCAACTGTAGTTGTCCGTAATGTCTACCTGATCTGTTACCATCTAGCCATTGAGGGATTTCAAATTAAGCAGAGCTGAACTACATCATCCTGGTTGGTCCATCACTCTCCGCTGAGCTTCTTTGTTTCGGATATTTGGGGATATTCTAAACACGTTATTTCCCCGCGGTGAGTCAGCTCCTTCCTCTCCATGTCAATTAAATGCAGAGTCTAATCGGCCACCTCCTGTTACGATGCGTCGCCCCGCTCCTAACCCTCTTCCGTTAGGAGCTGACCTGCGTCGCCTCCCCGCCCGTCTCCACAAGCGTCACCTGACCTTCCTCCCCCTCCATGATGATGCCTCCCTCCTGCAGCACCACCATCTCTCCCTCCTCTTCCACCACGCTGGCAGCTCCCTCCTCCTCATCCTCCCCTCCCACCACTTCCTCCGGACTGGCGGCGTTGGCTCCGGCGCTGACGGCAGTGCCGCCGTTGCTGGTGTTGGCCTGACTTTGAGCCATGGCTTCCAGCTTCATGCGGTACTCCTCGGCTTCCTGCTCTTTACGGAGGAGCTGCTGGCGATACTCCTGAGCCTTCCTGTTTGCTTCCAGCAGTTGTCTCTGCAGCAACTCCTGAAGATGGAGGAGAAATTATACGTAAATCAGAACTGATGAAATGCAGGAAGAAATCAGAAGCAAGTTGGTTAATTTGAAACCAAACTAGAAAATCCCATCAGTTCCAGATAATTCAAACTCATCTGTCATGATCCACTAGGTTCACGTTTACGATGTGACCTCCGCATTCATCACAGTCAGTTTTAGTTTTCCACAAGATCTTGTTCTTTGTGACAATTTATTTTTCCTTTACATCTTTTAGTATTTTACTTATTTATGGTAGAAATTAAGCAGTTTAACCTATAAATATCTAACAGGTTTGTATTCACATTCATCTAAGTCAGGTTTGGTGTTCCACAAGGTCTTGTACTTGGTCACATTTTATTTAACCTTTATGTTCTCGCCTTTAATAAAAAGAGGCTTAATCTTACACAGGTTGGAACAGTATTAGAGTAGAATAGAATACAAAAATCCCTTTTTTCCCCCACAATAGGTAAATTCTGGTGTTTAAAGCAGCAAAAAGATTATAGAAAAAAAAATTATCACACAAATGTGGACCTTAGAAAAATGTATAAGAATAACATAATAGTGAAGAGTTAAACGATAAAAAACAAAATACTGTACTGTAAATTGTTTTAACAATATAAAACTGCACTTGGAGAATAAAAAAACAATATGCAGCTATGGACTTTTTTTTTTTACAGTAATGGATATTTGAAAATAGCAGCAACATCAGAGATGTGCAAAAATGGCAGCAACATGTTATTTAACTGAGGTAGAAACTTTGCCAAATCAGCTTGAATGTAACAACTTATGCTTATTATGCACAGTTTATACCTCAATATCACACAGTAATTACCTGTGTAGACTCTTAAAAGTTAACCATTTTGAAATAAAATATGCTGTTTAAAAATCACAGCAAACAGAAAACCATGACTGTAAATTTGTCTGACTTTGTGATAAGGCTGTTAAAATGTAATAAGTAAGCAGAAAATGCAGAAGTCGTAGTTTACTGAACAGAATCACTGAGTACTCACAGTTTCTCCCGTGTCGTTGTGGTTGTTGGTCACCTCTAACTTCCTCTTCCTGGAAGGTGGAGGCTGAGGCTCCTCCGTCACCACCTCCTCTGTCACCGTGTTGGCCGGCACAGCAAGCACTGAGAACCAACAAACAAACGGTGGTTACATAAAGCGTCCTGCAGCCTCTAACGCTCTGGAAAGGATGCAGTTTGTGGCGTACTCTGCTGCCCGTGCTGCATGGTGACAAAAAAGGGCTGGGACATCCCTCCTGTAGTCTGAAGGTTGCCATGCTGGTCCGTCACAATGGTGATGACTCTCTGGCCACTTTCGTTGACCACAGCGGTATGCTGGATATTGGAGTCAAGAGCACTGGCAGCCATTGCCTCCTCTGATTCTCCTGCGGAGCCAAGTACAAGCGGCACATTCCTTCAACTGGAGGCATTGACTTCACAACGAGCAAAGCACACTTCACAAAGTATTAAAACAACTTAAACGTTATACATTTGGATATTTTACAACCACAGACTAGAATGTGTTTTTATTGTGATTTTATGTAGCAGAAAATTGCTGTGCATTGAATTATTTGTCTAAGTGGAAAAATCTATTGTGTTTATTTTATTAAGGAATGTTGCTTATTAGAGATCGACTGATACCGTTGCTCAATCTGCAGGTTTACTAGTGGTTTCTAGAATTTCTACAGGTAGAATGGGAGACAGTTCTTTTAGTTATCAGGCTCCTCTCCTGTGGAACCAACTACCAGTTTTAGTCCGTGAGGCAGAAACCATGTCTACTTTTAAGGGTAGGCTTAAAACTTTACTTTTTGATAAGGCATATAGTTAGAGTGGTTCACGTTATTCTGAGCTATCTCTATAGTTATGATGCTATGGGCTTAGACTTCCGGAGGACATAGGGACCCCTATTTCATCATTCTATCTCTATTCTTCCACTCAGCAGAATCTGTTTGTTAAATCTCTAACGTTCTGCTCCCTCTGCTTTTTCTCATAGTAGCTTCGCCTCGCCTGTTTCTGTTTGGCTGTGACACCACCATGGAGAGAAATATCAGCTGTGCTGCTGCCATCAACACCTTTGTTTATAAGTGTTGGAGATCGGTCTGTTTTTCCAGTGGGGTCCTGTTTCTCTGACTGTGACTAACTGGATGTACTCTCTTCATCATCTGACATGGGAGCTGGCTCGGAGCTCGTCTGCCTGGCTGTGTGTTTCCTGGATGGGGACGCTTTTTACAGCTGCTTTTTGTATCTCTGTTTCTGTCTCCTTGAACCCCAGTCGGCCTCGGCAGATGGCCGCTCACACTGGGCCTGGTTCTGCTGGAGGTTTACTTCCTGATAAAAGGGAGTTTTTCCTCTCCACTGTCGATACAGGCATGCTTAGTAATAGGGATTGCCTTCGAGTCAATGAGTCGATGCAATCAACTGGCTTTCCTTAGATAGAAAACTTTGAATCAATTTGACTGTATGATCTGGTGAACTGTAAAGTGTGTACATGTGTTGTGATGTGGTGCTATAGAAATAAGCTGAAATGAATTTAAGCCGATGCCAATGATTTTGTCAAACCAATCCAGGTATATACTGGCCTATTCTTAGATATGGGTTTTTCTTCCTCTATTTATATGAGAAATAGGAACTAATTATATATCATGTTAGAAAAGTCTCAATGCATCTGTTTTACGTGATCTCTAGGCATGTCTGCTGAAGCTCCTACCTTTTCAAAAGCTGCACAAAGAAAGGTCAACAGCAATAAATAAATATTGCAATAAAAAATCTGCAATTTACCTTAAATCACTACAACAAACACCTTTAAAGTGCAGTTATTTTAAGTTTAGCTGTTTATTATTGTATAAAAGATTTCAATATTGCTACCAATAAACTGGATCATTATTCAATTTGTTTCTATATGCAATTATACTGCACCACATCTAGGAGACTAGTTTTGTAAACTGCACCGTTAAATTGGCCAAAGTGTTACACATTAGCTGATAATACAATAAAAAAGGCTAATATCAGCCAAAAATGCTGACCGGTGTATCCATCTATTGCTACTGTGAATACTTGATAAAAACACATCTAGGGACTGAAACTCACACTGGAAGGAAAAGTATCAATAAAAAAAAAAAAAGAAAAAATCAGGTGATTCTTAGATTTATTTCTAGACTTTATCTATAGGTTATGTGCTCTGATGAACCTCTAACCTAACCTCAAGTCCTGTGCAGAAGCTAACTTTTTTTTTTTTTTTTTAGGACAGCCCCCAAATCAACCCTACCAACCGCTATGTCCTTGCTGAAAAAAAGGCATCTACTACAGCATGATACTGCCATCACCGTACTCCACTTTGGGGAGGATTTGTTTGGGTTATTTGCAGGTGCACCACCGGTTACGGTCACTACAGTAAGAACTTTTGGATTTATCTTTGTAAATGTTTCTGTGTGGTAATAAAGCTATGACTCAGATCTTAACCCTGACACTGTAGCTCTGACTGTTTGGTATCATTCTCTGGTTGGTGTAGAAAGTTTCATCATCTAAGCAGTTTTCTTGGGGAATTTCAGAGCATTTAGCTCCATCATCCTTCCTCTTGCCACCACCATGTGTCCATATGAGTACTATATGTTCATTCCACACTTTTAAGATTTTTGCATCCATCTCTGAGTATCATTTCAAGAATAAATATCTGGTACAGAGTTGATCAGTCAGATAAAACCTTGATAAAACACACATAAGGTTGTGGTTTTTCATGGGATGAAATGTTTGAAGTTCAAAGAGTGTTAATACAGTGTTTTATTAACAGGATGCTGCTTATTGGCTTTCAGTGTTTAGCTGTATTAAGCAGCACAGAGACAATGTGACTGTACCTGCGTTTGCCTTGTTGAGCAGCTCCGCCAGGTTCACCACCCCCCCCTGGATGGCAGGGATCCCCTGGATTATGAACTGTGGCTGGTTGGTGGTGCTGGTCGTCTCGACATTCATGCTCACCTGGTTCATGTTTACCTGGTTCTGCATGCTCTCCTGTCAACAGACACACCAACGTCTGATAAAATGGAAAGGTGCAAACACCTAAAAATACCTTTTTAAGATTATCCGCCTCAGTTCTGGTTCACAACATTTGATCTAACAAGAAAGTTGGAAGCTTTATCTGGAATCCTCTAAATATGAAGGTTAAAACACATGGAAGTGACTTAATGTCTTTCACTTTTGTCATAAATCTCAGAGAATTTATATTTAAGATAATTAGCAGCAGGACTAAGAAAATAAACAAAAACAAAAATAAATAAAGGAGTGGATAAAAAGGCCAATTTCCTGCAGACACAAGTTAAAGCTGCCTGGATGTTCACCTGCAGCAGTAGCATCAGCTCAGTGTTCTGGATGTCCGCCGCAATGTCAAACGGCGTCTTGTCGAATTTACTGCGCGCATGCACGTCAGCCCCATGTTTGATGAGGGTCTCGCAGACGCTCTGGTATCCGTGCTGCGCCGCCCAATGAAGGGCCGTCATCTTCAGCATGTCTCTGGCATTGATGTCTGCACCGCTCTGAAAGCAAATTTTGCAGAAATAAACCCACAATCATTTATGGGCAGAATAAAAGTATTTAGAAATTATTTTCCTTTATTTATTTATTTCAACATAACAGACTCATGCGTTAACTTTTGAACTGATACAGCTAATATTTCTGAGAGCTTATGCTTTTTTTTTATTTCCCTGAAATCCCACGTCAAAATATTTTCGATTAGATTTTTGTTTATTTCAATATATCCAGATTATATCCAGGCAGTCCAGATTCTTACCCTGATCAGCAGCTCCACAATTTCTGTGTGTCCCTCTGCAGCTGCCATATGCAGCGGGGTCCTGTCCACTTTGGTACGAGCATCTCTGCTGACGCCAGCTCTCAGCAGGACGTCTGCGGTGGAGTAGTGGCCGTGCTGAGCGGCAAGGTGGAGGGGGGACGTCCCCAGCTGTGGAAAGTACAGGAGATTAAATAAACATTACAAATACTGCTACACATTGCTTCTTTCTCAAAGTAATCATCTCTTTTTCTACATTTTATGATCTCATAAACAAACATCTCTGTATTTTATGTCATAAACCAACAAATAACACATTTGACAATATTTTAGATAAAACACAAACATAGAGAGCATGATGTGAGCATGTATTTGGTTCCCAGAGTTTGCTGCCAGGAGCAGAACTAGCCGTAGAGATGATGGCTGAATGTACTTTGTGGTCAATTTCTCTACCTTCTCAAAGAATATAAACACTGATTCTAGCTGAAAGCATTCCCACAGCATGATGCTGTCAGCACCATGTTTCAGTGCTAGTTTACTGCAATGCAGAGTGGTTTAGGGGTCTAATACTGGTAAAACTACAGCTCCTCCAGAGACACTTTGGACTTCAAGCTCCTTCTCTGATCAATGCTTCCCCTACATGAAGCATTCTCATTTACTCTGAGTTTGAACTATACATTAGTGAAATATGCTTTGTTTATGCAACGTCTAAAGGGATATCGGGTTAAAAAGGAGATAATAATGTAGATAAATATCACACAACTAAATCTGTTTATATATACATATATTTTCACAATACTAATTCACCCACAACTTTGTATTAATCTATCACACAAAATCCTAATGAAATATACTGTGTTTATAAATAGACAAATGAAGTATGATCTTTTCTCTGGTGTTGTATAATTTAGCTGTAAAACCAGATTCATCTTAAAAATCTCCAGCGCTGCTGGAAACAGGCGTCTCACCCAGTCTGTGGTGAACGGCGCTCCATTGGCCATCAGAGTTCGGACTTCATCGTCGTTCCCTTTCCTAGCCGCCTCCAGCAGCCTCTTCCCCAGGTCCACCAGCGACATCTAACACAGATCAATGCAGGAGATCAGGTCCCAATTATGTCCTAAATTACTGCCCTGCATGCTGGAAAGAGATTTTGTTGCACACTTACTAGAAGGACAGCCAAAAATCTGATTGAGATTTTTCTACTTAAAGGTATAGTGGAGGATTTTCGTATTTAAAAAAATAAAAATAAAAAATTATGCACAACCCTGTACCCGCCCCCGAGAGGGAACACCTGTTAGGAAAAGCCTTACATAAACATAACACCAGAATGATTGGCAATTAGGAGGACCACTTATTTAGATGATCCACCGGGAAATAAAAGATCGTCCTCTATACCTTTAAATGAACTATCCTGTAAATATATTTTATGTATATATATATTTCCTTCAGTCTGATTATCGCTCTATGTGGTTTACTCTTTCAGCTAATGGCATGTGTTATAGTCAGTATAGCAAGTTAAAGATGAATAGATTACTAAATGAAATGATTATGATTTAAAGACTCCATTATCAAGACTAACTTAATCAACTGTTTCAGTCCTGATTATATAAATATATTGTTTATTAATAACTGTTTTTAATTGTAGAAAAAAAGCTAAATATAAAACAGCAATGCTAAGATCTGTAAAACTGTTCACATAATTATACAATTCACAGCATTTTAATTTTACTAATATCTAAGGCTGAAACAATCTGATTAATCAATTAATGAAATTATAGCCAACTAATTTGGTAATTAATTAATTGTAAACTGTAGTGTAGAGACTCTGTAGAGTGTAGAGACCAAAATTGTAATAAAAAAAGTAAACATTTTGCAGTGATTAAAACAAACCTTTCCCCCTGTCAATATGCTCTATCCAGAACTCCTAAAGTTGAAAACTTTTAGTTTTACCTGGTTTAATTAAATAAAAATTCTTTCTTAAGGCAAAATTTTGCGATAATTAATTGAATAATTGAAATGAATAATCGACAGACTTATCGATTTGCAAGATAATAGCTTGTTTTAGCCCGACATATATCCCCATCCAAGGTCAACATTTATTTTCTATATATATATATATATATATATATATATATATATATATATATATATATATATATATATATATATATATATATGTGTTTGGTCTAATGCAAGTTGACATAACTGACAAAGACTCCTGAATAGGTGCTGAAACTTTTTCAGAAAAACTGAGTGAGGTCTGATTCCCTCTGGTTTAAGCCTGTTTTGTGGTTTTTATTGATACCTTTATGATAAAAGGGTCAAAAACAGAGAAAATGGAATATACTCAGCTACACTGAAAAGAATGAATGCTACAGATGTTTCCTTTGACATAACGTGTGCAACGTGTTCAATCTTGATCAAATTAATCAAATTATCTGAAAAAGAAAAAAAAGAAAAGGTCTTTGTCTAAATTCTTGATTTTTGGCACACTGTGCATCTGATTTTGACTCTACTAATCTGAACAGTACTGGTTAGTTAGCTTCCCACTAAACTCAGTGAACCGAGGCTAAACATGCGTCTATTATCGGACACAGACCCCGCCTTATGTTTACAAACCGCGTTTGAAGAAAAAAATAAAATAAAGACACGAATTCGGAATTTTGCACCTTTTAATGTTTTAGGGGGGAAATGTGTCTGATCTATTGTGAGAAACCCACAGATGAATCCGTGAAAGACCTAAACGGGCAAAATCTATATGTGTCCGATTATGGAATCACTTCCATCCTAGCATTTAGCCCGCTGATACCTCCCTCTCCGATACAAGCTCACAACAAAACGTTTGACATTTATTTCAAAGCGTTTATAGGCTGAGATGCTCGTATAAGTTTATAATAAAACTTAAATATATATGTAACTGTTTGAAGTCCAGTCCGACAATGGAATCCGGGCTTAGAAACAGCATTTCTTGTTGCGAAATAGCGGAGCAGGGCGATAGTTTTCTCTCCGCGGCCGAGGAGCCATTTTACGCGCCTTCATGGCCAGAAAATAGACCGCCATGTGCCACGTACCCCCCGCTCTCGCATCTAAGATGATTTCTACCACCTTCATCATGTAAACCTATCCATCCGTTCCACCTAGAAATAAAGAGTAACACCGACAGGAAACTGTTTGATATTAAGTTGTTGGTTTTCCGGGGGAAGTCACACAAAAATTTCCTATTTTACACACGGAGAAAAAACTACTTCCACATCCGGTTAAGTTGCATTCTGCAAGCGTGCATCGTCAAATCGCTCACAGGAGGAGAGCGCGGTTATATTTCCCACCTATTGTGGTTATTTCTGTGAGCGCTAAAGATGTAAAAGCTCAAAAAACACGAGTGTTTTCCTGGCGTGGGACGGCGGAGAGGGCTACTTACCGCGTTCAGGTTTGTTCGGCTCCAACTAGGCTGCTCCTCTGCTACGGTTAGCAAGCTAGCCGGCTAAGAAGAACAAACCCCGCCGCTTGAATAAGATTAGTACAATTCTATAGTTTTATTGACGCGCAGCATGCGTTAGTCGCGCCAATAATCAGTTTTAAGACTGGTAAAACACGGGCATTTGGGACCACTGTAGCTTATCGTAGTCCTCGGAGCTTGTTTACTGCGGAAAGTTAGCTACAGGTATCGGTAACACACCCGGATGTTTACGATTCGGCCTTCAAAATAAGACGAGTATTAATACAAGTTTGATTTCGGTCGATAATTCAGTTTAAAATATATATATATATTTTTTTACAAAAACCTGCACTTTTTATGTTGTCAATTTGTTTACATGAGTTATTTAATTACCTATTGTATTATTCATTTATTCCATGATTGGACTAACCTTAAAGCAGTTTGTAATATCTAATATCTATTTTATAAGCTAAGCTGGATCACGTATGATACACGTATCATGTATTAAACTTAAATTTTATTATCACAAAGTTAAGATTCTCAAAATCTAATAATGAATTGACTTACTCAAGAATTTACAAATAAAACAAATATATTGAATAATAAAATATTGTATTGTATGTTTTATAACTATATATATATATATATATATATATATATATATATATATATATATATATATATAAAGTCAAATTCCTTTTAGGTTTGGCAACAAACTTGATTCTGAAATATTTGACTTATTTCCTATACTTTATCTAAAAATATTTTTCTAAGATTTTTTTATGGTCTAGGTTTTAAGCCAAACAACATTTATCTAGCTTAGATTGCCTTAAAAAATCCAAGTATACCATGAGACAGGCCGGTTTTAAAATAAACATCCGTTGTTCTATCAAAAGGTTTGTTAGATCCTCACCTTTAAAAGTGTAGCTGATTTTTTTTTTTTGTGATTTATAATACCTTTCCTAGTGTATCCATTTTATTTTGAAAGTCATAGTAGGAAACTGCTACTTTTTCGCTATGCTATCGGTCTGTGACAGTGTACGTCACTTCCGCAAAAGCGCAATTCATTTAGGGTAGTTAGCGCCATTTCTGTGGGGGAACTAGCTCATCCTTGAAAAGAATATATGATGTTTTAATTCGATCTGTGTTGGACTATGGATGTATTGTTTATAAATCAGCTGCAAATTCTTTGTTGTTAGATTTAGATAGAATCCAAGCCAAAGCGCTTAGGATATGTAGTGGTGCTTTTCGAACATCTCCAGTTCCTGCTCTTCAAGTGATTACTGGAGAAATGCCACTGGACTTAAGGAGGATGAAACTGTCAATAAATTACTGGTTAAATTTACAAGGGCATGAGGAAAATCACCCTACTAAACAGATATTCAGAGAATGTTGGGAATATGGCCATAATATAAGGAGTTTTGGATGGGAAGGAAATATTTATGCAGAGTATTCTGGGATAAGTAATATAACATACTGTAAAACTGTAAGTACATCTAAAATTGCTCCATGGTTTTTCGAAATGCCAATAGTAAATTTAGAAACTAAAAAAATAGAAGAGTCTTGTGGAGGTTTGTATCAAATTATTCAGCAGCATTTAGAAGTAAGGTATGAAAATATGACACAAATATATACAGATGCATCAAAAGAGGAAAATGGTAAAACAGGAGTAGCAGTATATATTCCAAAAGAAAATATTTCTATCAAGAGAAGAACAACAGATAATTTATCAATTTTTTCAGCAGAGATGTTGGCAATTATTTTAGCATTGCAATGGGTGCTGGAGGTGAAGCCTAGAAATGTAGTTATCTGTTCAGATTCAATGTCTTGCCTGACTAGTTTTAAAAGTGGAAAATCTGAAAGCCGTCAAGATCTTTTAGATGAAGTCAGTTATTTAATGTATGGTATAAGGCAACAAAATATAAGTATTCAATTCACATGGGTTCCAGCACACAAAGGAATCTTAGGTAATGAAAAAGTAGATAAGTTAGCTAAAGAAGCAGTTAAAGTAGGAGAAATTGAATATGATGTCCCGCTAAGTAGAACAGAAATAAAAGTAATTATTAAAGATAAAATAAATAAGGTATGGCAGAAGAGATGGAATTTAGAAAAAAAAGGAAGACATTTATATAAAATACATAAAGATATTAGCATAGGATATAACAGTATAATGAGTAGAAGAGAGGAAATATGGATAAACAGGTTAAGGATTGGGCATACTAGTTTAAATGCAGGTCTAAAAATAATAGGGAAACATCCAACGGGTAATTGTTGTTATTGCGGAGAAATCAAAGGAGTAGAACATGTGTTGATCTATTGTAGCAAATATACAAAAGAGAGGAAAGAACTGGAAAGGGTAATGGGGAGTTCAGTAAAGATGGCAGATTTATTAGGGAAGCATCAATCAGATAAGATAATTAAAGCACTTATTAAATATTTAAAAGATACAGAATTAGCTGGGAGAATTTAGTGTGTGTATGTGCGTGTGTGTAAGTATAGATAGAATTTAGTTTCATGAAGATATAAAGATATACAGACATTATATTTCTGAATTACATCTCCGTCCAGTTGATGGCGGTAATGCACACAGGATGCAAACTGCCAGAAAACTCAATAGAAGAAGAAGAAGATTTCTGTGGGGAAGAGACAGCAGCAACAAACAAAAGAAAACTAACAGAGAGCAGACGTGTTCTAGTTGCTTCTTTGGAAATAATGGGACACTGGTGCTGCGTCAAAGGATGCAATAGTAATTCTAAACAGAAAACAGCAGATGGGGCCGTACGGTTTTTCGTATTCCCCACTTGGAAAAAAAATACGGACCGCAGACAGAGGACTTAACAAAGAGGTGTCGGGCTCCGTGGGTCGCTGCTGTAAGAAGGAAAGACATCACGTTTCATAAAATATCTCCTCATGCTCGTGTTTGCTCTCGGCATTTTCACAAAGGTAAGTCCTTATAAATATACACTAATAGAAATCAACACGCTGAAATGGTTTGCTTATAAAGTTGCAGGAGTTCATGTAAACCTACTGAAACATGCTGTGGAAGAGAAGCGGAAAGTGATGTTTGTTTTATTTCTTTTTTAGACCGCTAAAATTTAATAAATAATGCATTATCTGTATATAATCATTTACACAATCTGCAATACAAATATATTTTTTTTATGAATAAATATATAGTATTAGTGTGTCAGTGTACATATAAAAACACTGTACATACCCACTCGTCAGCCAACTCACTGCATTTATTCATCCTGTGCAATCTACTTAAGTTTATTTATTATAATCCTTTGTTCGTCCTGTAAGCTTTTCAGTTTATTTATTTACCTCTGGCCTTACTAGTCCGATGTACTTGTGCTGTTTCAAATAGCAAATTTCCCCACTGTGGGAAACATAAGCATATCTTATTTTATAACTCATCTAATCTAATGGGCTCTGTTATTAAGGTGCTTTATATAGTGTTTTGAATAGATGTGTAAAACACTCAACCTTTCATCTACTTTGCAGGTCAACCCGCATATGAGATGATGGAAACTGACCCAGACTGGGCTCCATCCCTGCATCTGGGCCACACTGACATCAAACCAACAGACACAGACCGCTCTTTAAGACGTGGTTATCGGGAACAGCTGAAAAAGAATGCCCTGCAAGCAACTGAAACGGGGCTCCATCAGGCTGATGAAATCCTTCAGCGACAGGATGAAGTTACACATGAGGCGACAGAGAACCCTAACCAGCAACAGACTGACACGCAGAAGGCTGCTGAAAACGTTGGCCGGCCAAACACCAAGGATGACACAGAAGGTGGTCGTCAGGAAGGACAGACAGAATGTAACCTGTGTGTGCTCAGGTGTGCAGAGATGAACCGTCTTTTGGAAGAAAACAGAGAGCTGGGGCGTGAACTTGATGAGCTGCGGATCTCTGATGGCTTCTTTGGAGACAGTAATGAAAAAGTCAAGTACTATACGGGTCTACCAAACTTGGCAACCTTTATGGCTTTGTTTAATTTTCTGCTGCCTCTCATGTCTGCTCAAAATAAAATTCTCAGTCCATTTCAAATGCTTCTGTTAACCTTCATGCGTCTGATATTGGATCTGCCCTCAAAACACCTTGCTTATCTCTTCTGTGTTTCACCAAAGACAGTGTACAGAACATTCAATGAAATGCTGTCATTTTTATATGCAAATCTAAAGCGTGCAATTGTGTGGCCAGATAGAGACACCTTGCACAAAATTATGCCTCATCAGTTTGTGGATGCCTTTGGACATAGAGTCACAGTGATTATCGACTGTTTTGAAATTTTCACAGAGAAACCAGCTAATAAATGAATGCCAGATCAAGTACTGTTTCAACTTTCTTCTTCTTTTTTATTCTTCTTTTCACACAAATAGAATTTTGCTTTTTTTAAAGTTACTTTTGAAAAATAACAGCAAAACAAATATAAGTTTCACCATCACTTCAAATATTAACAATGTTTCTGAGGTTGTAAAAATGTGTGTACAATAAAGAGTGGATTTGAAATTTGAAACAAGTGTTGTTATTATCTTTTCAATCAAGCAGAGAATTTATGAAAATGCAATACAAAATCTCAAATACATAAATAATGCAGAACAGTGCAAAGCTTCAAATGTTTTACTTTGTCTTCCTCCCTCGTATATAGCAGATTGCTCTTTAGATTAAATTAGAAGATTTTCATTTTCCCTGGACTTGTTTTCACTGTGGTCTATGGTCTTCCGTAGAGATATTACCTAACAGGTGATATCTGTGAAGAAGACTGCAGATCCCAGTGAAAACAGGCCTGGATAAAGTGAACAGCAAATACAGTGTGCAACTTATCAATGTGCAAAAATTATGACAAGTTTTTTCGTTCAGTCTGATGAGCAGCACAATCTACTCTAATAACTGCAGCTATCTGTGCAACTGCCCACAACATCTGCCTTGTCACTGTAATAATAATATATAATATCGTTCCCTAGCAGCTTTAGAAAGTTTGTCTGGGTAGGGTATCCGTTCAGTTTTCTTGTTCTTATCCATTTAACTGATAATCCTCACTGCTGGCAGCGCTCTCCTCTTGTTTTCTGCTGTTTTGTTTTTCTTCCGCTCACCACAAAAATGGCGCTAGGGGGCGTGTCAGTCACGTGTCTGACAAAGACCGATTTTATAGCTAGCTATGTTAGCTGTTAGCCTGCACACATGCAAAGGGTTAACAAGTTAAATTTAGGCTGATTTTACCTCCTTTGCTACCTC